CGGCAGCTTTGACCTTGTCAAGGTCACGGCGGGCGGGCCCCAGAAGCGACGGGCGGCGGCGGCGGCGGCGGAGGTGGAAGGCGGGGGATCGCCGAGTCCCACGCCCGTTCTTCTTCCAGCCGCGGCCGTTCGGATCCCTAGGCTCGCCCTGGTGACGCCCCAGGCCCCGCTGCGAGCCTCCAGGTTCACCCCGCTGACTCACGAATTCGCCCCGCAGCCCTGAGTCCCAGCTGCGACCCCCGCTAACCCGCCCTGATGACCCCCAGGCGAGTCCCGGTCGCGTCCCGCAGACCCGTGAGTCCCGTGGGAGGAGCGTCTTTCGCGGGTTCAGGCCCGGAACCGGAGGCCGTACCGGTTCCCTACACTTGCCAGGGCGCCCAAGTCCCTACACTTGCTTATCCCAAGGCCGGGCTTCTCAAGGGCTTGCTCGCCCCCTGCCCCGGAGACCCCAGCTCGGCCAGTGTCCGCCCGCCAGAGTGCCCCCCAGCCCTCCGACCGCCCTGCCCCACCATGGGGTACCCCAGCCCTGACCCCGAGACTCCGGGTGCACTCGGCGCGCAGGGCATCGGGTGGGGTGGCCCGGGGCTCCCACTCCCAGGGCCCAGATGGCGTTGGACTCGGGGTCCCCCCACCGGGCCGCGCGCTGCGACATGGGGCTCCAGGAGGGACTGGAGCACGTGTGTGTCATCGCACGCTCACTCCCATGCTCACAGGCGCTCCGAAACGCACACCTGCACACAGGGACTCACATGCACAGACACATGCACACACGGACTCGCGTGCATCAGGCACACACGCTCACAGATGCACATCTTCGCACATGCGCACGTATGTGCACACAGCTGCACACACAGGCGCACTTCTCACCCCCCAAGGAAATCAGACCTAGATGTTTTGAAATGTGCACTTTTTATTGAACCGCAGCTCAGTGGCCCAAGCCCCAAGTGAATCACTGGATTTTCACAAACTGAATACGGTGGTGTATCAACACCCACGAGGGCCTCTGTAACAACCCAGGCGCAAGGATTCTTTTTTTGTTTCTTAGTTCCCTGCCTCTATTTCTTCTCGTTTTCTCTTTCTCGTGTCCTTCCTCTTTTTTATCTCTGTTTTTTACTGGGGGGGGGGTCCCTGCATCCCCTCCAGCAGGTGACACTGAATGGATGCATGCCAACAAGAATGCTCAAGCCTGGGGCACCCTGAACCGGCCATTTCTCCATCTTCCTCTGTCCTCTTGACCTCCCCGGAGAGGCAGGTAAGGGGTGGAGACTGAGGTTGGACCAGCTCCAGGGCCGTGGGGGCAGCTCCAGTCACTTACAGGGTGACAGATGACTGTGGGTAAGGGCATTGATGCTCTGGCACATTCTGAGGCATCAGGACTGGGGAATAGAGAACGGACTTGGGGGGCTGGTCCTGCGGCGGCCAGAGGGCTCTGGAGTAGAGGACAGGGCGGCCGTGGATTCTGGGCAGGAACTGGGCATTTGCTCAGGGGGCCATCTCTGGGTACTCCCAGATGCAGAAAGCATCTCGCCTCTGACCTCATTTGTTCACAGGATCAACCTGTCTGGGCGAGTAGGGACCCTGGTGATGGTTATCACTGCCCTCTGGGTCCACAGGGGCCAACCAGCCAAAGCTGGTCAGTCAGGATCAGGCTGTGAGGCCCCGGGTGTAGGTGCCTCTGCCTGACAGCCTGCTGGGGAGAGCAGAACCTTCCTCTCTGGCCGATGGGGGCGGCTAACCCCTCTCCTTCCCCGGGGACGCCCCTCCCTGTGCTCTACCTGTATTCCACCCCACCCCAGGGGTCAGCACTACACTATCTGTTGGTTCCTTTGATGGTCCCCTTTTGCCTGGGCCCAGCACCCAGACTGCTGGGCAAACGCGCCTGGAACAAATGGATGACTGTGACCCCATCACTAAATGGGGTTCAGAACATGCTTTTTCCTAAAGAGCATTTCAGGTGAGTCTTAGACCCATCCATCTGCCCCGCGCGCTTGTGTGTGCGTGTGTGTTGGGGGGCTGGCATGGCCCCCATACTCCCCGACCCAGGAGAGCATTTGGACCGCACACATCAAGAACCCAGAATACCTTGTACCTGGGAAAAGAGGGTCCAGGTAGAAGGCACAGCTGGCTTTGGAAAGGGAGAGAGGATGGGCATGGGGGGAGGGAGAGGTGACACTCCAAGACCCCCAGGGCTGGGCTGGGGAGACTGAGGCCTGTCCTGCCTTCCTCAGCTCCATCCCAAGGTTTAATGAGGACTTGGTGTTACAGATAAACTCCCTGCTGGCCTGCAAGATACTTTGAATCTGTACCCCTAGAGTGTCTGAAAAACAGATTTATTCATTAAAAGAAACAGGAGGTGCTTTAAAAGATACGAGGTTTTAGCTGATGACTCCAAGCAACTCATGGAAGGGATGAGGTTGGCATCCGGGGGACAGGGTGGGGGTGCAGGCATGTGCCCACAGCTAGGCCCTGTGTGAGTCAGTCTTGGGACTCAGCCCAAGATTCCACCAGGCACCCAGCCCTGCCCTTACGTGACACCATCGGGCGACTGGGTTGGGACCCTGCAAGGGAATGTAGGTTGGGGAGCGCATGCTGGTGGCTTATGGTCCCTCTCCCTACCCCCTCCACCTCTGGCCTGTGCAGAGGAAAGATGTTAGCCAGTGATGCGTCCAAACAGTCCCGGAAGGCAGTAGGCACTCGGACATGTGCTGGAGAATGAATGAATGAATGCCACCTGGAGGGCGGGGGTCAGCTCAGGTGCGGAATTCCAGCCTAGAAATCCCCACTGATCCACAAATAATGGACACGGGCCTGGGTGTGCACCCACACCTGCACAGTCTTACTCTAACTCCCCTAAAGATACTGTGTTTTGCACACATTTCTAATAAAGGGAGAGAGGTTCTGTGTAAGTCTTATTTCATCTCATCTTAAAAATCTTTTAATCAAAAAGTTCCAACACACAAAAGGGAAAGACATATAAAGAAACCCGTGGGCCATCACCGCTTCCACACGTGGCCTGGGGGTGTCCCCTGGGCGGGCCCTTGTATTAAGGGCGCGGTGTGGGAACTCGGGGGCAGTGAGGGGGGAGGTCCTAGGCCCCAGCCCGCTGGGCTCCCCAAAGCCGGGACCGACGGGGTCGGGTGCCCCAGGACGGGCGCCAGGGCCCCTCTGGTAAGAAGCGCGGTTTCTTCCCGCAAGCCTGGCATCTGGAGGGCCGAGGGGCTAGAGGGCGCGCGCCGTATGCCGTCACTTGTTATCGGGGACACTGCAGGTCGCTACCGCTCAGCCGGTGGAGACAAGGTGCCCTTGGGTGAGGCAGGGGCCCCCGCAGGAACTCAGCTCTCCTCCCAGGATGGGAAGGAGGCTGACTGACGGGAGTGGCCCAAGGTGACCCGGTCGGCGTCACCCCAGCTGCGCCCGGCCGGGTCTGGCGCGCGGAGGGTGTGGCCCTGCCGGCACGTGAGGGGCAGGACTTCGGGGGGATGGGGAGCTGGTGGGGAGGGACCCGCGGCGGGCGGAGCGCTCTGCCGTCCCCTGACGCCGACTGCTGTCTCACTGAGGCTGCAGGTCCCCACCGGGTCACACGGATAGGAGGGGCCTCGACCCTTCTCCTTTGTCCGTCTCACCGGGAGCGCTCGGGACACCAAACGGGGGGGCCGCACGGCCCCCAATATAATCGTCTCTAATTTTCTTTCCTCCCGTATCCCTGCCTCCCACGGAGACAGAATTTGTGATTAAAAAAAAATTGGAGTCCATCCAAAATTATATATTTGTGTGTGTGTGTAGTACTGTGTAACTTATAAACATGTAGCTATTCACATACATAGCTTATAAAATACATTCCTATACAGAGAAAATTAACATATAAACATCTCTGTTCTTCGAAGGGGTCTGTCTCTGTATCTAACAGTCTCTGGTGGTTTTAGTTGAAAGGACACCGGGTATGTCCACACGCAAAGGGGGCCGATTCGAAGGCACACCATTGACGGGATGTTTTTCCTAACAATAACGTACAAGCTGTCAGTGTAGAAGTTGCAACCAACTTACTACTGCCTAACATAGGAAAAAGGTTTCGTACTGGTCTCCTCTTTGCGGAAACAGATCTGTTACTGAATACAAAGCCGACTTAGCCTCAGATGGGAACGTTGGGGACATTCGCTGGGAACAATCATCTCAACCCCGTAAACCGCCACTCGCCTGCGCTCGTGGATAAGGTTTAACCGTCGACCGGGGCGGCGGCCCCGCGGTCCAGGGTTCCTGAGGGTAAGCGGCGGGACCCGCTGCACCGTGCCCACGCGGCAGCCGCGGGCACAAAGCGGACAGGAATAGGGGTGAAAGATGGGCAAGGGGGGTCCAGACGCACCGAGGCGTCCGCACAGGCTGAGA